TCTTTTTTTCAAACAATATAAAATTGTTAATATTTCAGCTGCCATGTTTCAATTCGAATTCCGTACTACACACAACACGCTGGAACAGTGACGGGTACACTACATTATGTCATACAGCACAATACCAGCACAGCAAAGACCCAGCAAAATGCTTGACAGATGCTGTGCTGTTGCTGGTCTGATGCTGGACGCACTGTGTTGGAGCTCTTAGGCATAGCCTTACAGTTTTGCGAAAATGCTACGTCACGTCGTCATTCATTGATATGATTGACAATACAGTAGCCTAGATCAACATGCAATCTTTTAAAAGCATGGTATTTGTTTGGGGAGGGGCGGGGGATGTTCAACCAATTTTTAAAGTGTCTGACAAGATGAATGCTTTCCTGCTGACAACATTCTACCTTTCTTCTCGCAATTTTTTTCTCTGTGGGCCTGAGTGTTGACACTGCTGTCGCCATGCTGTGGTATTTGTGGTGACAATATAATTTTATCAAGCCTGTGCACCGTGTGTATGATAAAAGCCAGCAGGGCAGGCATAGAATCTAATTTATTTTGAATTATCATACAGGCGTCTAGTAATGTCATGCACATGACATAATATATTATCTTATTGTGTAGACTGTGGAAGCAAAAATGTACAGAGTAAAGTAGGACAGTACACGTTCCGTCTCCCCTGCCTTGAAAAAACAAAACAACAACCAGCATGAATTAATCACCATATCAGCAGCTTTTTTGAAAGAGCGCTTCATATGACGGCTACTTCCACTTTTCTGTCCAAGTAGTAGTTTATATTTTATATATACAGTCAAACCTGCCCTGACGGCCACCTCTATAAGACAGTCACCTGCACAAACGGCCACTTTCCATTTCCCCCCTTGCGTTTTTTCTATATAGTTTAACTGTGTAAAACGGGCACCTGTTCAACGCGGCCGCGACCACCATATTTTAACACACAACCCCTATCACACTAAGCAATAATACCTGTCTTAGACGGCCACCTTTGTGACTTCATTACGTTTTGTCATAAATTGTGCATTGGCCCCTGGCGTTGTGGGCGAGCCGTCATAATTCATTCACCTGTCGTTGTTGTTAGGTAGTCCCTCCAACCGATCTTGTTGCATAGGCCCCTCCCACTGTTGACCAATAGCTACGAATTTTCAGCTGTTGGTGAGGTAAGCGTGTGATCCCTCATAACCCATAAGCCCCGCCCAGAACTCTTACACTAATCGTAAGTGAGATGAGTGGTCACTGTTTACCCAGTCTGTAACAAAGTAACAAAGGACGTCAACATGAACTTGTGATAGAAGCGTCGCTCGTTCTCCAAGTGGTGGAGACCCATGTGTTTGTTTTAACATGGCACTCGGTCTTCCTCGTCCGATACATTTCGTTTTATTGTCACCCTTGTGCAAAATCAGCAACAAATAAAAATTAAAAACAAAATACAAACCACCACCAACAACAACAAAAACAACAACAATGCGGCTATTTTCGATTGGGACCTCAGATGGGAATGGTTTGTTTTCTTCATCTCAATCAGTCCTGCCTAAGACGGCCACCTGTCTTATACGGCCACTTTTCTCCTTGACAATGGGTGGCCGTCTTACACAGGTTTGACTGTATATATGTAAGTAACAGGCTATGATCCGATAGTCTCCACTTCTAGCATGTCCAGCTGTCACCTTTAAGGTTCAAATTTTTTTCCCCCTTTCTTTCTCTTTCCTTTTGTGGATTATATTTTATGAGGCTTGATGGGTAGCCTAATGTTTGTTTAAATTTACAGCTTTCTCAAGGTGTATGTCCAATCTACTCTCTTTAATTTTCTTCTGATTTAGCCATGAACATAATCTAAAGATTAAATACAATTGACACCAAGTGGAAAAAAATGCAACAGGTTATAATAATTTATAACTTTCAGAATACCTTGTATGGTTTTGTGTTCTGAACCTATTATGTTAAGCACTGTGGTGATAATTATTCCTCTGTAAAAGAGCTAGTTAAGGAGTGCGGCCTCCTCCTACTTTTTCTTTTCTTCTTGATATGTCAGTTAGGGTTATCATATTTGATATCCGTTTGTAAATCCATTAATTTATATTATATAACTGTACTTTAGTTAATTCATTGTGTGGGTGCCAATAAGACAGCAACATATATGAGAATGCTTTAATGGAAGAATCAGGGACTTTTATTTGCATGTTTTTAAAATTGGTAGCCTGTTGTCAAAATACACACACCTGCTCTTTCCAAGCTGTTACATCATGTAATATTTATAGGATTCTGAGGAGTGTTTTATCATCTCCAATAAAAGTCGAGGAACGGCAATAGCTATTTGCTTCATTTGGCTGAGGCTCATAGAGCAGAAATAACGCTGAATAACTGTTACCGTGTTTTATTTTTAAAGCAGTCATTATTAATTATAACTGCATATATTTGTGGCTGCAGTGATCTCACGTACATCGGCACAATAATCACCTTTTCCTTTCAGCATGAGCACGATGAAAGCTGCTGCGTTCTCTCCTGGCGGAGCGGAAAATCTCTACACCTCTGATGTCGCCATACCAGAGCCAGGAGACTATGAGGTCCGCATCAGGGTGTTAGCCTCTGCGATAAACAGGGCGGACACATTGCAGGTAGATCATGTTCTTTCATTCCTTTGTTAAGATAAAATTAATGCTAACGGCTGGGGGATATTCAAGGGTGGATTTAGTGCTGTACCCAGATCGGGAAAAAGAGTTTTGTGATATTGCGCATCTCTGGAAAAGAGCTTTATACCAGCCGTAGAACAATTTGAGAGACTCAAGTAGAACAATAATGTCTTCCTTCCCATGTACTGTTCAAAGAGCATGATGCAATACTAATAGAGTACGTCTTCCAGCTTATAGGCCTATTGGTTACCGGTACTTTATTTTCTGCTGTAGCAGTCATGATTTTTATTTAGAGCATGCCATTGTAGATACTAAACTTGTCTCTTTCCTTTAACGATTATGTGGCTGGAAAACATTAAAAGAGCATAATCAAGAATATTTTAAACTTAAATAACATACAGTTTCTCTCTATTTCTTTTTGTCACTCTCATGCACACTCTGAATTCATGGGCTCATACACAAGTCGGTGACAAGTACTCCACCGAAGTACATTTTAGATACCAAACTCTCTCACCTGACCAGTGCATCCAATGAGCAACTTTTCCTCAGCCCCTCAATTTCATCCCTCCATTTAGACCCTGATATAACTTCCTCATCAGCTTGTTTCAGCATGGCAGTCTCCATAGTTGAGATATTTGTTATTTTGGTTTTTTTTAATTTTTGTTCTTTTATTATTTTTTTTCACAGAGGAAAGGTCTATACAACCCTCCTCCAGATGCTAGCCCTATCCTGGGACTAGAAGCTGCTGGGATTGTTGACAAAATTGGACCAGGATGTCCAGACAGTGTGCTTGTTGGTCAAAAAGTTATGGCCCTTTTGGCAGGTAAACCTGTTTCCTTTTAGAACCTTGTCCCGCTTTTCTTTCTTTTGACTGTGGTTTATCAAGGTTTGATTTACGGCCAATTTTTTGTGTGTAAAGGAAAGGATTGCAAGTCAGGTCTCAAAAGTTGAAAAAAAAGTCTTAACAGCAACTGTGTCATTTCTTTTCCAAAGTGATATATACCACAAGAAAGCCAACGCTTTTTATTTTAAAATCGTTCTTTAATTAATTCAGTATTCCAAGATGATGGAAAAAATGGTTCCTTTATTGAACAATGAATTTTTGTCATCTGCGCTCTTAAGTTAAGCAGCATAATTTGTAAAGGTGTGACATTACGCTTGTCTGTAGAATGCAGATAATGATCAATATTTATTACTCAACTTCTGTAGTCTGCTGTTTGTTCTTGGCTACCTGACGGAGATATATTTTTTGCTCCATTTGTTTTCTGTCGCATGTCTGGCTCTACCCATTTTTTCTATCAATCAATAACCAAAATAACTCTTTCAACAAAACCGTGTTTCACTTCTGTTTAAGAACTTAAAAAGAGAGCATATTTTCAACCATGACATGAAAAACCATGTTTTCAATGCTTTTATTCTGAATCGCACAGAATTATCAAATACCTTAGACCATTGCCCTTAAGCGTATCATTATTTGTAAGAAGTGAATCTTGTTCAAATCATTTTCTTGTTGTTTGTTTTTTCTCTTCAGGGGGAGGTAATGCCGAGTATGTTACCTGCAGATATGAGCAAATTATGCCAATTCCCAAGGGCCTCTCCATGATTCAAGCAGCTGCTATTCCTGAGGTTTGGCTCACTGCCTTTCAGCTGCTTTATTTTGTTGGTATGTTTGTTCGTCACTTCCTGCTCAGTACACACGAGCCCTGTGTTATAGCGAATATATGCACTTTGCTATCAAGTTATAGCCATTTTGATCTGACCTGATAGTGACTAGGCAGATAACAGTAGTCTTAATAGATAGAATTTGTATCTATAGTGCAAATTCCCGCTCAACAGCAAACTGTATGCACTTTACAATCTATATTATATAATATTATTAATGGCTAGTAAGCTTTCCATATGTTGTTTCCTTGATTGGCTGTTTTGATGAATTTGAATGCAGAAGATAAAATGAATACAGCAGTGCCTTCACTTTTGAAAACTATTTGTTATTCAACCTTGTGCTCTTTGCTTTCCCCATTCATTTGTCAATGTTGCTTCTTCAAAGACAAACAGAAAAGATCATTGACTAATGAAAGGCTCTCTCTCTCTCTCTCTGTGACAGGTAAACATGGGTGGTTGACGGGTGCTCTGATGGTGTGGTTTGCTCCTTCTTTCCTATCAAACATCTATCATCCTTATCACTCCTCCTTCCTTTTAGTGTTTGTTACCCTCTTGTAACACCTCTAATCTTCGGCACCTATATGACTTTATTGAGCTGCTCTAACTAAAACTAAACTGACAGGTAAACTGAGGAAAGAGGACACGGTGTTGATTCACGCGGGAGGAAGTGGCGTGGGAACGGCGGCCGTCCAGTTGGTCACTCAGGCGGGGGCCACAGCTATCGTGACTGCCGGGAGCCAGAAGAAAATCGACTTTGCCAAGTCTCTGGGTGCCAAGCATGGCTTCAACTACAAGGAGGGCAGCTTCAAGGACAAAGTCTTGCAGGCGACCGATGGTAATTTTGTAGGAGACAGGCCTTTTTTGTGTGTGTTTTTTTGGGGAAGTGTCTTACGGCACTCACAACTGCCTATGGTCATATGAGCGCGGGGGACACAGTAAACTTTTTCAGTTGGTTGGAAATTTTGCATTTTTCCCAGGTGGCGGCTGAAGCCTACTCTTATCGATTTTAGACAACCATGGGATCTTTGACATAGGCAACTTGCACACGAGACCTCAGAGATTTTTCGCCATTGTCCTAGAAGGCTAGGTGTAGCTCTTTCCTACCGGAAGATCAGGGGTGTGGCTGAAAGACAGCAGTAAAAAGGAGCCAAGGAGTAGCAGTAAAAAGGCTGCAGAAAGAGTCAGGAACCCAGAGGAGGGGGAAATGGAGGTGAGGTGGTAGGGGCAGAAAGAGGAGACGTAAACAGACGACAGAATATTGCTAGAGAACAGGAAAGAAGAAGAAAAGAGACAGGCTGTATTATAATAATAATAATAATAATAAATAGCATTTCTATAGCGCAAATCCCCGCTCAACAGCAAGCTCTATGAGCTTCACAATCTATACTACTACCCCAGCAGACCTAAGAGCGTTTTGAAACAACCTCAACTTACAGTGCAAGTGGCCATTTATAGGTGCTAAAACACTAAAATACTGATAAGATCTTTCACTCTCATTGAGATAAATCAAACAAGGAACCATCTGCTGTAAGCCTGCCCGATGCTTTAGTAGGTCGCTTAACCCTATCCGTAGGTCGTGTTTTACTATTGTATCCATACGACGTCTTCCCCTCCCTTCCTCCCTTGCTTTCCCCCCTCCCTTTCTCCCCCCCCCCCTCTTTTTCTCTCTCTCATTCACACACGCACACAAACACACACACAAACACACACACACACACACACACACACACACTCTGTATCTTCCTGTCTCCCCTCCCTGCCTCTCTCCACCCCCCCCCCCCCTTCCCTCCCTATCTCTCTCTCCCCCTTTCCTTCTCCCTCTTCTTTGCCCTCCTCCCTCCCCCCCCCTTCCTCCTTCTTTCTCCTATTGACTGCCTGTATATTTTTCAAAATACTTTTCCAGGTAAGGGTGTGGATCTGATTTTGGACTGTGTTTTTGGATCCATGTATGATGATGACGCTCAGCTGATCAAACTAGATGGCAGATGGGTTGTCTATGGATTTTTAGGTAACTTACAGATCTCATTTTTCAATTGTCGGGTACTGGTATCTCTAGCTGTGACCCGTTCATCTTTTATTTCATTGTGACTTGATGATGACCATGATTCAGGTTGTGATAGTGATGATGTGTATTTTATATTTATATATATATATATATATATATATATATATATATATATATATATATATATATATATATACGGTCCACTACGTATAAGTTGATGTCACCAGGGGAATGAAAAACAGATTAACTCATTCGAAGTTCAACTGAACCTTTGGAAACTGTAAAGAAGACATGTATATATTTTGTACCTAAAAGAAGTGCGTAGCGAAAGTCGTTCATAATGGAAACATTTCCAAGTCCCACAATTTTCTCTTTGTATATATATGTTAGACTGCATTTATAATTTCCTGATTCACGTATGGACTACAATTTTCTGTGTCTGTGGAACAGATAGAAAAGACATGACAAAGTCAGTGATGTGAGAACAAGTACTCACACTTGAAATGTGTATAAGAACCGAATTATAAAAATCTAATTATTGTTCCAACTAACGTTATCCGGTATGTTAACACTGCTAGGTGTGCAATCTGTATACCTCTAAATGAATTTGTTTTAAATTGTTGAGACAACATGACTCTGGTTTTCTTCTTCTGCTCCTGTTGATTTGTTATGATCCATTTTGACACCTTTGACAGATAACAAAAAATCTCCTCCCCTCTTCTCGGCTCTCTGTTTTACTCAGTGTATCCTGCAGCTCCAAGGCTGTCCATTCTCAGATGTTATCCTCCCATCTCTTCTTCTTTCTGCCTCTCCTCATTCATCCTCCCTGCACTATGCTTGGTAGAATAGTTGTAGCAAGGCCTGATCTTTACTCTAATTATTTTTTCATCTTCTGCAGGAGGATCGCAGAAAGAAGCAAACTTCAATATGCTGTTGAGGAAACGTGTTCAGCTACTTTTCTCTAATCTCCGGTTTCGATCAGTTGAGGTATGCATGTGTTCCCTCTTTTTTTTCCCCAAAGGAAATTTGTTCAAGTGGTTTTTGTATTTTCACTGGAATATTGTGCCAAGGATTTTCACTGAATTTTGGCTGTGGTCGAAACAGTCAACTTGTAAATTTTGACTATGTGGTATGATGATTCTGTTTTAGCATGTTTTGATATTTGATGAAGATATACTGACTTTCAATGGGTAAGATCATATCTATAATCAGGGCCAGGGGGTAGTTAATGCCCTACTGAATACTAGAGAACTGCAGCACGCCTGCCTTCACTTATCACTACATTGGAGAGAAGGGCGAGAGCCCAGCTGTTACTGGATTGATAACAACAGCAATAACACGTGGGAGTAGATTATTTCCCAGCATTGCTCTCTTCAAGACCGGCAGTGAGAATATATAATATATTTGTGTGTAAGTGTGCCTCTGAGCATGGCTATTCTGCAATTTTCTGTAAATGTAATCTACATTTTCCTTTCTTTGGGTTTGGTTTGCTCATTTATGGGGATAATTTTTTTCAAAATTGAAAAGACTTTAACCTCAGTAATGAATATATTCTATGTACTTTACCCCCCCCCCAAAAAAAGCAGCACCCTTCAGATTAATAGTCAGTAGCGTGTTTTGTTGTCAATCTAGCAGTAGCAGCATTTGAGCTTCTGCCCTCTAGCTCAGTTCCACGGTGAAGGTTTCAGTAAGTTATTTATATCTTGTACAGTGTGGGAGGGAAGGAAGTCGTTGTGGAGACTTGACTGTTGAGTTAAAAATGTTGTACTGTTGAGTGGCATAATGAGTTGTGTGTACTTTCCACATTAAGCTTAGACCACAAGAGGGACAAGTATGACTTGACTGTAGTGTGTCCTCCAGGGAATTTCAGGCTCCAAACCTTCACAAGAAGGCTGATTAGATATATACCACTGTAGAATTCATCAATGGTTGATGTTTTACGGACATAACAAAAACGAAGGTTTACTTTTGTGGTTTCTCGACTTTACAAAAATGGGTGGTTGGCGGGTGCTCTGGTGTGGTTTGCTCCTTCTTTCCTATCAAACATCTATCGTCCTGATCTCTCCTCCTTTTTTTTTGTGTTTGTTACTCTCTTGTAACTCCTCTAATCTTCGGCACTTATATAACCTTATGCAGTTGCGAGCGCCGTAAAACCTCTACTGAAACAAACAGGGAAGTAAGTCGTTGCTGGAGACGTGACTACTGAATTAACTCTTTATCTCCGAGGGGGGTAAACCCACAATGTCGGGGCCCTTTTTTGTGCTAAATCTAAAAAATGACAAAAACGTCATTTAATGGGTCAGTAAATCGAAACTAGCAAACCTATTTTGATAGTTTTTCACTTCATCCAATGAATGAACTTACGGTATAAGAGACCTGTTTTCGGCTATTGCCAAAAAGTAATTTGATGTCGAAGTCGTCTTAAAGGAATGTGCTCGAGCTGCTGTCAGCGGCTCACCGACAGACTGGTTCCGACTGGGAGCCGCTGGGAGTGGCTTGCCGGAGATAAAGAGTTTAAAATGTTGTACTTTTGATTGGCACAAATAAGTTGTGTGTATTTTCCTCATTAAGCTTAGAGCACAAGTCCTCCAGGGAATTCAGGCTCCATACCTTCACAAGAAGGCTGATTAGATGTGTACCATTGTAGAATTCATCAATGGTTGATTGTTTATGGACTTAATTAACAAAAACGAATGTTTACTATTGTGGTTTCTCGACTCAACAAAAATTGGTTGTTGGCGGATGCTCTGGTGTGGTTTGCTCCTTCTTTCCTATCAAACATCTATCGTCCTAATCTCTCCTCCTTTTTTGTATTTTGTTACTCTCTTGTAACTCCTCTAATCTTCGACACTTATATGACCTTATTGTGTTGCAAGTGCCGTAAAACTCTTACTAAAACTAAAAAGCTTAACAAAAATGGAATGTTTTCTATTGTGGTATCTCCTTTGTGATCCCTCAATATATGTAAGATACACACGGATAGTCTAGCACAACAATCGTTCACTGAAAACAGCAACCACCATGTTGGATGTTTATAACACTACTGAATCATAACTTTAATTGCTCATCCTGAAGAGTACAAAATTAATGCATTCAAACAAGGAGACATAAGTACAGCAATTAACGATAGTGAACCAAATACAGTTATTGCTCATGTAACAGGTATTACAGAGATATATTACATCCTTTATTTATATCTCTGCAGTACAAGAAACAACTAGTCCAGGAGTTTTCCAACCTGTCTACCCCGTTGTTTGAGAGTGGAGCCTTCAAGCCTATTGTGGACACCGTGCTTCCATTGTCGGAGATCTCACAGGCTCACAAGTTGATGGAAAGCAATACAAATATGGGGAAAATTGTTCTCAAAGTCAGCGATGAAACTTCTGCTGGGAAGGACGAGTTGTAAAGATGCGTTGTGTACTTTGTTATCACTGTTACTCCAGACTGAACCCTGAAATATATAAATAAGGGTTCCCCAAGTTATATATATATATTTAATAAATATATTATACAACAGATACGTTCCATGGTACATGTATAACTGAACTCTCATGTTCCTTCCTTGTTGATGTATGGATGCTTTTCATCGGTGATCTCAACCTTGTCATGGTATAGGCCTACTTTGTTTTCATGTGAGGCTAAGTGTAAGAGTTGTGCAGCAGGTCTTGATGTTATGTTTGACTGGGAATAGTCCTCCCATTTAGATAATGTCCTGTGTTCTTCGCTTGTTTCTAGCTGTGATTTCGGAGTCCTGGAATGGTAGAATGTTTGTCCTGGTTTTATGTTCAGAGGATTTGCTTTCTGACCACTTCGGAGCATTGATAATACAGGGTTCCCATTGGGGGATGCGGTCGGGACGGGGCGACTTGCTAGCCAGATTGAGGGCGCAAAGCGGCTATTGTGGCACATGCCGATTGCGCCCAACTCGCCGACTCAAAAACAGACACGATTGTTTTCAAGTGACGAGTGGGACGATCGCCCCCGATCCCATCCGCAATGGGCTCCCCGTATTAAGGTTAACTTCTATACATAGTGTGCCTGCTGACTTCCACTTTTTTTTTGTTGAGAGATGCTGATGCAGCAGGAGAACTGGATTCATTACGCATCAGATCTGGACTTTGTGGTCAGTTTCTGTGCATCAGACAATGTGATTTGTTACTTTGCAGGACCAACTGATATTGATGAGTATTAGTATCAGTGTAATGAATGGAAGTGCAGCCTACTTGGTTCATGGAAGTGCTTGGTTTTTTGTTTATAATTGTTTATTTGTAAGTTGAAATTTGTTATTGATAGAACACTTCTGCTCAATACGTCAATTCACCCTTCCCCCCTTTTTGGGGGGGGTTTATTTTCTTTCATTTGTTTTTGTAGCTCTGAAACGAACTGTCACTTATCTCTCAACATGTGCCTATGAAATAAGTGTAATATTGTTGAAAATAAAGATATCAAGAAGTTCCATCAATGTTGTGCGGCTTGTTCTTCCTCCAAGTACATATGTGTCTTAAATTACTTTGAGTTTCAGACATTGCTTATTCATATAATGAGTACAAATATTCCCATTTCTTGTCAAAGAATCTGTCGGGGCTCTTTTGGCCTTGAGGTTAAGGTGTTCCTCTCTCGTTCAATAGGTCCCGGGTTTGAATCTGGATAGTGACGGAACTCCTTTCACCTCTTTTCCTGCTCTCTAGCAATGTTCTGTAGTCTACTTTCATCTCCACTTTCTGCCCCCACCCCCTCACCTCCTTTGCCCCTGACTTTTTCTGCATCCTTGCTACTGCTATGCCTTGGCTCTTTCCTACTGCTGTCTTTCAGCCACACCCTTGATCTTATGGTAGGAAAGATCTACACCTAGCCTTCTCGGACAAGAGCGAAAAATCTCGGAGGTCCTATGTGCAAGTTGTGCACGTTAAAGATCCCTTGGTGATCAAAATCGGTAACAGTAGACTTCAGCCACCACCCAGGCAAAATTCAAAATGTCCTACCAACCAAAAATGTTTAATGTGTCTTGTGTGCTCATATGATCTTATCCAGTAGCAAGCACTGTAAAACACTTACCAAAAAAATAAAAATCTGTTACATTTTCTTCTAATTTCCACCCCAGTCAACAACTAGATCTATTACACACTGTGGTGTTCACTGGCCACATCTGTAGTCCATGCGTATAGTGCCTGTCTTGGAATGTTGTTGATACAACCACCCATGTGACCCCTGATAAGTAGAATCGCTTTGTTGACCTCTGTTGTTACTATTCCACATTCTCCAAACATTTGTTGAATAAAAGTCTACAGCCAGTTTTTGTATGGTCTGTCGTCTTTGCCTGGGTATTGTTACTGGTGATTTGAGGGCGTCACTGGTACATCCTACTTCTTTTCTCCGTGTTCAATCTCTAGGGACAGTGTTAAGTATCAAAGGAAGACCAGCATAGGCATCGCCTTACCTGATACAGTGGAAACCATATATAACAGGCCTGGTAATAACAGAGATCCTGGTCTTAACAGGGATTTAAAAATCCCCGTTTTTTCCTACTCTTTGTCGCTTTAAAAAGTTATCGACAATAACAGGGCCTCATTGGAGCTCAATCGGTTATAGCAGGGACAAAGGCTTGTTAATAATGTGTAAAAAGTTAGAGAGTAACGTAGTGATGGAGCAAGCCAACGAAAGCCACGCCACTGCAAGCACATGCAGCTGGTGAAACGAGAGATGGCTGCGGTGTGCTGCAGACTTCGATCTAGCCCTAAGCCTAGCTACACGCACGCGTAATGTATCATGCGCAGGCCTGCGACATGGCCATGAGAGAGGGCTGCTGTATACGTGTGGCAAGGGAAACAACCCATGAATAGATTTACAGCTGGATTAGTCCATAAATGCTTACTTCCCTTGCATTTCTGATTTAACAGGGATCTGTATATTATATATTAACAGGGCTTTTTCTGTGGTCTCACCATCCCTGTTATATCAGGTTTCCACTGTACAATGAAAGATGCAGTGGTAGTTTTCATAAATGGAGAGCCTTTGAGGGAAGTCACATGCCTTTACGGCATTGCTCACATACCCTTCAACACAACGTGAAGAAAGCTCTTCAGGGTGATTTATCGTGCCCAAACTATCGTCACAGTCAAGAACAGGAGTCTGAATTGGCGCAGTACATATTGAAACGTGGCAAACTATTCTATAGTTTGACAACTGCTAACTGCAGAAAACTCGTCTATGAAGTCGTTGTTGCAAATCACCTAAGACCTCTCGTACCATCTTCGTGGGATGATGCAAAATGTGCCGAAAGGAGTGGCAGATGGTTTTTCTTTGAAGACATCTGCAACTCAGTTTGCGACAACAGAGGCTTCCTCATTCGCAAGAGCCACAGCTTTCAACAGACATTATGTGGGAACATTTTTCAACTTGCTGCAGTCCCTTTCTAGATAGTGACCTGGGTGTCTCTGTGGCTCAGATATTTAATCTTGACCAAACAGGAATCACAACAGTTCACAAAGTCCCAAAGATCATGGGACCTCGTGGTACTAAGCAGTTGGGCCAGATGACATCAGCGGGGCGCGGCGTGGTATGTGAGTTCCTAACAAAAACCACCCAGTTTTATTATGTTGGGGTTGTTGTCAAAAAAAGAGACGAAGATGATGATGGGGTTGATTTTTTCAGAAGGACAAAAAGAGTCTACACTTTGTAAAACCAGCAGTGGAAGACATTTTCCTAGGCTATATTGACTTCATCAGAGCCATTTTACTCCCACCAACATTCAGAATTCAGAGGCACTATTGTAAGAACCACAGAGGCTTCATCTGTTTCCAGGTTGACTTTGGACACTTTGGTGGTCGTTAATTTGCGTTAAAATTCCATATTTGTGTTGTTGTGAGGAGTGTATTGTTTTGGGGATTTTTTGTTTGTTCAGGTTTCGGTAGCCCTGGTAACAGATATTACCTGTGCCTGTGGCCCACTTCTCCGGGGGGGGGGGGGGGGGGGGGGGGGGGGGCATTTCTCCGCACCTATGGCCCAGTTAAAATTCTCACCACTTGCATATGTTGACTTCAGCACCCTATAAAACCATTTTCATTCCATCTCAGTTGCACTGCTTATAACTGTTTTTTAAACACACATATGTTGTTTGGACTGAATATAAGGCATTTTGTCCTTTACTTTGTTATTTCATTTTTGAGTTATTAAGGTTGTTGTTTTTTTTTCAAAAATCCTCCCACGGTGGCCATACTTCTCCCCACTCTTCCCTTCCCGCAAAAAGTACAAAACGGGCTCTTGCCTCCTCCCTCTCTCTCTCTCTCTCTCTCTCTCTCTCTCTCTCTCTCTCTCTCTCTCTCTCTCTCTCTCTCTCTTCTCTCTCTCTCTCTCTCTCTCTCTCTCTCTCTCTCTCTCTCCCTCTCTCTCTCTTATTATTATGGTTATGGTTATGATTGTTAAAATCATTATTGCCCCAGTCCTAGATCTACACCATGTTGGTAGGCAGAGAAGACTGTAGGCAACACAGCCGCTCGCAGTACAATTTTATGTAGCCTACCTGTACGAGCTCAATCAAAGGTCTACAATTATTATCTGGCTACCCAAGCTTTAGAACCCTTGCACTTGCACCCAATTATAATAATGATCTCTCTCTCTCTCTCTCTCTCTCTCTCTCTCTCTCTCTCTCTCTCTCTCTCTCTCTCTCTCTCTCTCTCTCTCTCTCTCTCTCTCTCTTCCATAATATTGTTAAATTATTGCTCTACATTTTGTTGAACTGTTGAACAGTGCCATGAAAACTGGTTGCTGACTTTTTTTCTAGCTACTCCCCGACTCCATACCCCCCCCCCCCCCCCCCTTTCATTTTCTAAAGAGGATGCTGGATAATTACGGTGAGGTGAGGACGACCCTGGTTCGAATTCCCAGCGGGACTGAACCAAAGTTGTTTTAGGGAGTTTTTAAAACTCATTGCACTGCACAGTAGTTTTTGTGCGGGGCATGTTACACGTATCAAAGGAGGCTACAGTAAGCTCCTTGCACGTAAATATATCTCGTACACCTCCATTTCGCCGTAATCTCGGCCCAAAGCGCACATCTCTCTCTCTCTCTCTCTCTCTCTCTCTCTCTCTCTCTCTCTCTCTCTCTCTCTCTGGGCGCGCACGCTTTGTACCGGCGTCTGTGGGTAGCCAAGCGGTGAGACTCACGCAGGTGGAGAACCGAGTTCGAGTCCTCACTGGGGAAAAACATTTTTATCGAGTATTTCGGTCTTTCAGCTGGGATTCGATGTATACCTCTCAGCGAAAGATCTGAATTGTGTCGATTAAGGCGTAAAACACCTATTAAAAAAACCCCCAAAACAACTATTAAAAAAACCCCACACGCTTTGCAGCAGAATCTTTACAGACAGCTAGGCCTAAGACCGGTACTCAAGGCAGGGTGCGACCAAGGATGTCATAGTATAGCAGGCTACAAATCTATACATGTACACGGACGAAGGGCTCGAACTTCATTAGGCCTACGTGTATCTTCTTCTTGGATATTTTATTTTCGCCCACTAGCATTTACAAGATAGGCCAAGATCTAAATATAACTAAATCCTGTCCAACTTGGCATTTAAAATGTACCTATCCTGGATGATTAAAAACATTACGTTGGCTAAATGAGTAATCAAATAGCTTTTTTTGAAATTCATCTGCTTTTTGAAAGAAAGTCCTGGATCTAGATGGGAGACTAAGTTCAAAGATTAAAAACTTACATATTGTTATATCATATGCAAACTTCTAAACTGAGAATAGTTTGAAAATACAATAATAATGGAAGTAATAATTAGCTTAAATTGTGAGTCGAATCTTTTTATCATAGATTTTTAACCAGTTAAACCAAGGGAAATAACTCATCACATTGTTTTGCTCCCTGATTGTGAATCTGTGGGCGCGGATTAGACTTCTTTGCTTCAGCAAGCTACAGCACAGGACACACTGATCATCAACACATTACAAGGACACTGAACAACGATTTCATCGTAGTACACTGGTTTCCTTATTTGAACATGCAGTACCAGCACCCAAAGCATGTTTTAACTTACGCATAGAGTAAAGAACACTGAGAAAAGGTGAGAGTGGCTGGTGAGGGCTCACCACATTGTGACTGATTGTTGTTATTGTTTGTTCGGAAGGACTTCCGAAACGAGCGACCACATCAACAAATACAATAAAGAAGGACCTAACCCAAACCCTAATCCTAACCCTACCCGACCCCTGTCCCTCTATTCTACTCTGTCTCATAGTGGTCGCTTGTTACAGCTACGAGTACGAGTCCTCCCATATTTGTTCTGTTGCTCATTGTTATTGAATTGTTTTAAAATGTTGCTCAATGTTGTGTGGACCAGTGTGGACTGGACTGTCACCTGAAGAATAAAAAAAGTAGTGGCTGGTAGCCTGCTGCCTGGATTCCAAGCAGTGTCAATCTTCTGGAAGTAACAAGAAGCTGTGTAACGTGGAAATAGTCTGCTGAATTTCCAGATTTCCAGGATGCCCAGCAAAGTCATAAAGTCGTAAATTCGGCACACTGGCCGTAAAGATCGTAAATGGTAGTAAATTTGCATTGAAGGTAGTAAAAATTTGGTAAACGGTCGTAAATTAGTCTGCATACTGAGTGATGAAGCCAGCAAGCCTTTTCAGTGAATCCTAGCCGCCGTACATGACTCCGTTTTTGCCAGTCGCTATTGTGATGTAATATTCGTTCAGAAGAAGCAGAGATTTTTTAAACTATACCATTTTTATAGAGATGAATTTTGTACCATGCATAAATTAATTGTTATTTCAGGGAATACTGATTGTTGCAATCATGTATCTGGCTTCCTCTGGAGTTGGGGTGAAGATATGGGACATTGGAACATCAACCCTGAAGGAAGAGTTCACTCCTTTCGATGGCTGTGTTAGTGATATGTCTTGGAGTCACAATGGTATGTATAGGCTACTTGTTTATGAATCTGAGAACTGCTTTTAGTCTTTGACTGTTTTGTTATTTCTTGTTTTTTCAAATATTTGACCAGGCATAGTATGATAGTTCCATTAGGGAGAAATTTTTTAATAACCACTAAGAAACAGAGTGTAGAGGATTAGGGTTAAGGCTAGGGTTACGGTTCTAAGGTGTTCTCTTCTTTATTGTGTTTGTTGGGGTGGTCCTTCCCCTCATTATAACAATTTGTTAAACATTCTAGAACCCTGATGCTTCACATGACATTCGTGAAATCATAAGACCGAGGTTACAGCTTTCATCCTTTAAAATTTTACGTCTATAATTTCTGTTCTAATTTTTTCTCCCAAGTCTTGCTTGATTATGTTACATTATGAGGGACTTTAAAGTAAACATATATTTTGCTAAAAAGGGCTCTGTACGAATGAAGTTAAAAATACCTTCGGGAAATTTTATAATAGTACTTAAACTTTATCTAAAGGCCTTGTTTCCTTCCATTATATATTTGAGCCATTGCCAAAACGTGGGGAAAAACACACACATCTCACAATAGTGTGCATAAAATGTGATTCATTAGTATTTATTCCTCCAAAACGTATACACATGTCAAATATAGGATGTAGAACCTGCATTAGCAGTTTCAGACCCTATGTCAGCTTTATAATCTTGAGTTTGTAAATTTTGTGCCAAAAATGTCCGTTTTTTAGTGATTCCTGGAGTGTCATTTTGAGCACACCAATGCAAACTTCCAAGAATGTCAAAAATTTAGTATTTTTGGGTGTTTTTTTTTAACCTGTGCTTTGATTCTATGCTATTTGTGATCGAGAAAGGTTCACTTGCTCAAGAAATCGGTTTATTTGTTTGCAAATAAACGAATAATTCGGATCACTTGTGCGTCAGGGCTGTCGTCACGGACTAGGTGTTTCAGAAAACACCATTATTTTTCAGTAGAATCACCACAGCTGGTTAAATCTTTTTGCTTTTCGTCGTTTATTCAATAGTTCAAAAGCCGCGATGCGCGAAAGGAACATCGGGTTCCTAGATCTACGATTTCGGTCGGCTGTTTAACATTCGCCGTTAATGGCGTCACTTTGCGACGTACCGGAAGTCCGAATTTTAGCCTACTTTTGTTTTGAACGGATCATCAACAGTGCCCGGATATAATTGTTTTCTTGAGTGACTTCCCCTTACCCACTTCCCCAGAACAGCGGGAGCAACGGGGTAAAGAGAAAAACGAAAGTAGTCATTGCCGTCACCCTCCGGTTACGCACAAGAATCTTGCGTTGAATGTGACGTACTGGGCTGTTTTGCGTGTTTTTAGGCTACTCTATTGAATATTTTAGTGAAATTGTGGTGTTTACATTGGATTCCTGGAACAAGAGTGTGATGTGTGAACAAACTTCGAGAGATGGATCATTTCTGTGGTTATAGATTTAGCTTTTGTGCTTAGTGATGACGTTTGGGGTGTCGTCATGCAGCCGTACAAGACTGACCGACGTACTAGAAATTACATTGTCCTAAGAGCAAACATTATTTAAGTCATGTGTGCTCTTTTTACTCAAACAAATAGACAAACATGTCCTTGTTTATCTGTCTAACTCAAAAGTACACATTTGTTCTTTGTTGGCATGATATGCCTTTTTCCAATACATTGTGTCATTGTGTCATCATTGTTATGTACAAGTAATATTTTTCATAATTGCTAATATCAATAAGTTTTCAACATATATTTCATACATGCCAGATTCATTTAGAAACAAAATACGCCTTTATTGATCTGTGTGATCTCATAGTGCAAATTTGTTCTTTGTAGGCATGATTTTACTTTTTCCCAGTATGTTTTGTCATCACTGTTATGTACGAGTACTCTTTGTCATAATTAGCAACGTAATTGTGATTGTCTACTGTCTTTGATATGACCTGGTATCTATTTCAAAGCAAAAGAAACCTCTCTTGGGTTTTTTTTATTCTTAAAGTGCGCTTTTCTCTCTGGAGACAAGACTTTTGTCTTTTCCTGTACATTGTGTCATCATTGTTATGTACAAGTCATGTTTTTCATCACTGTTATGTACAGGTCAGCTCAATTGATTTTGTGCTTTTGCCTCATTTTAGTTTAAACATTGTTTTACACTTGTGTTTTTCTGGTACTGAGGCTTTGATAACTGTATTTGTACAGCCTTTCACTATTGTGATGTGTTGTTAATGATAATGTCCAATGTGTATCCTTTCTTGTACATAACCATGATGACATGTTCTGTGCACTGCGACATTGTTACAAAGCTCACGTTTTGGCAATTGCTCATTAACAAAATTAGTTATTTTGAATGTCATTACTGAGTTTCATTTTTCAATACTGACCATTATTATCACACTATTGAAAAGGTATTATAATGTTATAATGTTGTAATTGTAAAAATTGTCTTCAAAAGTGTATTACCTTTCCAACAACAGAGTCACAATTTTAATGTCAGTTTTTATTGTTATTGGCATTGGAGGCTTTGAAATAATGAGTCTTTTTTTCTGCAGGGAAACTGATTGCGGCATGTAGTAGCACAAACAACACTGTTCATCTGGGCTTGACAAAGTCGGGCCTGTCCGTCCCTTCAGAATCATTTTCATTACCCGTGAGTTGAAATTATTTAGTATATGAGCTTTTGCCAAAAGGTGGGGGTGTTTGCTTAAGGACTTTTTAAATCAACCACTACTCATGGTAAAATATGTTTTCTTCTGAAAACTTTATGTATATGGCAAGGAAATAAGTTGGTCAAGCTGCATGAGCAAGTAGATTGATGCGTGCATCTTATATCTCTTCATAGAAAGATAATAGTACTAAAAATAGGTCATTTTTTACTCATCCTGAGTGCACACGTAATTGTATTTTAAATACAGAATATTGTTAATCTTAAACTATCAAACAGAAGTGCATTCAAACATTGAAAATAGTTTGTATACACCATCATAACAGCGTGTGTCCATTAAAAGGTTGTTTTTTTTTATATTAATGATGTTATTGCTGAGAGTAAAATTTATAAGTTCGTTCATAACTCGTGTCATAATTACATCATCAGACTTTCCA